TCGGACAAACGTTTGTGGCCGGGAGCTTGTGGCGACTGTTCACCACGTCGTTACCCGTTATCATGGACGCATCAAAATCTTCAAGGGATATTAACGCGTGTCCATGACGGGTGCATTGGCGTCTAGTGCGCACCCGCTCGAGCTCCTGCAGGCGCTCTTCTTCTGTCTGGCGGGATCGTCGATCCGCATGTCGTTGCCGGTCTAGCCCACGTTCGGCTTCCCGTTCATGTTCAGACTGCTCCGCTCTGTGTTCTGCGTGCTGCTCCCTGTTAGTAGCCCGAAGCGCGGAAATATCATTTTCATCCATCAATTGTCGATTCTCAGCGCGAGCCAGAGTGTTGATCTCTCGCTCGCAGTCCCGGTCGTGTTGGCTCAAACCAGCACGTCTTTCTTGTAGTCGGGTTCTCTCTTGCTCGCGTCGTTCGTTAAGTTCCTGACCGCGCAATTGGGCTCTACGGGCGCGTTTGCGTTCAGCGTCTTTCTTCCGAGTACGATCACGCTGAGAGAGCGTCATATTGGCTCTTCTGGTACGGGCCCTCTCAGCATCCCCGGCACGGCGGCGGTCTATGTGGGATAGTGTATCGCTGTTTCCGCGAGCGCGCTGCCCAAGCGAGACAGGGGTTCGCTCTTGAACAGTAGCTTGTAGTACGACAGGCACTGCCAATGAAGCCACTTCGGTGGCACCCGCTATATATGCTGCCTCCATCTGGGCCGCAAACCGGCGCTGATGTACCGCAGGATCGGACTCTTCCGTCTTCTCCTCCTCCTCTTCAATGCGATCAGCCGGAACTTCCGCCGCTTCTGTGACGTCTGGCTCGTCTTGGTGTACGCTGAGGGCCTTCAGCTCTTTGTTCAAGTCGTATCGTTTCTTCCTGTGCTTGGTCTGACGTCGTTTTCGTGCATCCTTTTCCTCTCGCATGGGTGTCGCGTTAATGCGTTCGTTCTCGTGCAGGGCCTCCTCGAGTTCCTCGCGCGTCCTCTTTCGCTTACTCCGAGCCATAGTTCTGCGAACACGAAAACGTGACGCGTTAGACAATGTCTAAGTACACCGCACGTAGCAGTAGTTTTCATAAAGTAGTGTGTTCGAATATGCGTACTACCCGGGATTGCTTGCCCCCATCAAGGTTATCTCCGATCACTTATCCCACAGTCACGAACCGTGAGGCCCGGAGCGGTTTTAGTTTGCAAATTGTGCAGTCGAATCTTCAGGGTTGGGTCCCCGGATAGTACTGTAGCTTGAGGTGCGATATCCTTTTGCCAAAAGGCGGCCGTTAATTGCAAAGGCTGGTTATTGATAGGCTATTACAGCCCCCATCCCATCTGTCGGTTAAAAGAGGCCAGTTACGGTACCCCTCCTGACCAACTGCACGCACGCAATGTGCGTGCCCATCAATAACCATTAACGACCGGCTCAACTGGTTCGCTGTCGGGTTTGCGGTCAATGGACCAGGTGCCAAATGTGCTCTCGCGCAGAGTGGGCGGTGGGATAAAGCCCCAAGAACCTAGAGGGCTCTGGAACTAAATCCCCATAGCACGGCTACCTACTTGCAGGATAAAATCCCGCAAGTTATAAGCTACCCCCTAAGCAGCCCCAGGAACCTCGGACTATCTGTGTATGTGTGTCTTGCTAGCTACTAATGTAAACTAACATGCATACACGCAGCGTACCTTGAGTAACGTGGCGTTCCGCGGCTTCCGTTTTGAAAATGGGGGCAAAATGAAAATTTGAACTGTGCATTTTAAGTACGATGTGTAGACCACATATAATATGTACACCACATATTGCAATTTTAGCGAATCGAGGCCGCCTTCGCTGCGCTCGGCAGCCAGTAGAACGCCCGCATTTGCGTTACATGAATTAACCCTAGCCGCGGACGGACGTACGGACGGACAGACAACACACTCCACTAGGGGGGTAAGACTAGCCGTTCGCCGCCGCTACGCGGCGGAGTGGCATGGTTTGTTGGAGATGAGGTGGCCGCAACTTTAGTGCTTCTTGGTGTCGCGTACTTTGTGAGCGTCGCTCACCCCAGTAGGTCTTGGCTTCGTGTATTTAGCCACTTACCATTCCGTAGTCTCATGTGGACCCGTATAATAGCGTGGTTTGGTACCCCGTACTACAGGTTGGATGTTATGTTCTTCAGTGGCCGGCGCTCTTTCCTGCTCATCCCGGCTTCGTGGTTCCTGCTCATCCAGGGCTCACGCTGTTCAGCGGCTATGACCTCTCTCTTGTGGGTTCATGCGCTTTAGTACGGCCTTTTCGTAAATGCTAACTTTTCTCTGTTCTCAAACGTTTATGTGGGTTGCGCTGGCTTCGTGGTAGATACTATTTCGTGGTCGTTGGCCTTCCATCGCCGGTGCTTTAGCCGAAGTGTGCTATTCCGTGGTTTGGTGACTGCATGCAGTCGTGTTGCTCCGTCGCCCGTGTATCGTGCTCTCCAGGTGAGGCTCCATCGACCGCGCTATCACGATATCGTGCAATCGCGGTGTGGTTTTGCTGTATATGGTATTGTGCCCGCGTAGTGCATCTGCGCTGCCCGCGTTATTGTGTTCTACAATGGCATCGTGCTCCACGGTGTACAATCGTCACCCCAAGCCCCCCCCGTGTAATTTGTGGCTGGGCCACCGTCCGTGCAGTTGAGTTCTAATGTACTTCTGTCCTCCGTGGCTCGGTAAGCTCAGGTTCAACACTGGTATCGATCTCCGCGGCTCGACGATTTTCTGACTATAGCTCCGCGGCTGCGTTCTCCCATGGCATAGTGGCCCAGACCATACTATCTAGTTATCTTGTGGTGTCCCGGTAGATCTGCCGTTTGTGCTTCGTATTTTACCGTGCTTCGTGGTCTACGTGTTGTATCGTAGGTGATTTCCGTGCTCTGTAGCAGCTACGTGCTCTAGCCCGGTTTTAGGTAGAGAGTCAAACAGAGTCCGTGACTCTTAGTGCTTTCATAGATTTACATGCTAATTGCATCGGCCCGCTTCCGTGCTTTGTAGCTCTGTGTCCATATTTGTTTCCCCTCCATCGTACATACTGTTTCGTACTGCCCTACAAATCCAGTTCGATAAGCTCGCACCTTCTCCTAGGCTCACGCCCTGTCCTAAGCTCCCATACAACGCACCTAAACACGAAAGTAATTGTGACCAATGGAAAACATTTATTTTTAGCCAATCAGTTTTTCTGGTGGTTACGCGGATGTTTGTTGCGCTGGCGAGGTTTCCAGCGACGACGGCGGCGATTAATGCGCTCCTGGACAACGCGCCGCGGCGGTTGTGGGGGGCCCATAGCGGCGGCAACTAAGGCCAGGCTTTGTTGGCGCGAATCAGTGGCTGGCTTCGGTTCTGGTGTGCGTGGGCGGTGCTAAAACGCCTGGCTGTATGGACCAGAGGCGCACGCGATGCACCTGCGGGCACCCGCTCGAACCTCGCCCTGTGCGAATGCATCCCATGCTAAGAATTGTTCGCAACAGGCGCACAGCCGGAGCTGCAGCCCTAGACCGTCTGGCTCGAGCGGGGGGTGCACAATGACCGCCTGGCACGTCGAGCACATGGGAGGTAAACGCTCCATTGGAGAAATGTTTTATTAGAAACATTTTTATCTAATTAGTAATATTATTTTTTAAGTATTAAACTAAGTATTTCGAAGTATTGAATTACTACTTTGCTAAAATGCGATCCAGTGGTGTCGCCAGGGCCTAAAAAAAATCAACAGCGCCTACGACGATATAATAGTACCGGTGTGCACGTCGGCGAAGCCTACCAATGCAAATTAACCCGCACACACGCAGCGCCCTTTGCGTGAGGTGGCGCTCCAGCGTTAAAAATGGGGGCAAAATGAAATTTGAACGGTGCAGTTAAGTACGATGTGTTGACCACATACAGTGTGTACACCACATATTGCAATTTTAGCGAATCGAGGCCGCCTTCGCTGCGCTCGGCAGCCAGTAGAGCGCGCGTATTAGCGTGAGGATTATTAACCCTAGCCCGTTACGGACGGACTGACGGACGGACAGACAGCACACTCCACTAGGGGGGTAAGATTATATTGACATATTATGTCAACGATCGCTACAGTGTGCAACGATAAACAATGTAGCTTGTACTTCGAAGTACTACATACCGTATACTACGTAGTAACTAGCAATGAAACTTACACACCATTACAGAATTATAAAGACGACCAAAGCAAGCGTAACTCGCAGTTCACAAATCTGGAATGAGAGTTGCGCTTCAAGCGCTGATTGTATTCGTGGACAAATACTGTACGGTGCACATTATAATTTACAGACGACTATTATATCCGCAATTAGACCGGTGCAATGTAAATACTTATGCTTGGGGCTGCATTCAAGAGGAAACATATATTGTTTGAGTTTTGATGAGACTTTCTGATGTACTAATAGTACAGTTTTGTACCGGTACTGTGTTTAGTAACGTCTTTGTTGAATCGTAAGCAGGTGGTGTCTACGATTCTATCTTGACGTTTGACTTACAGTGATATATACACTAGCCGACTGCGTCCTCAGCACCCCCATTTCCTCCAATCGTCTCCGCCTCACCTGGCCCGAGAAGGTAGCCATCCTCGAGAAGGCTGCTCGCTCACCTAATCCGTCGTATAATGAGCTAGCTGAGTGGATCGCCTAGGCGAAGACCCTCGGCAACCCGTACAGCGTCGACCAGCTAACTGTACTGCTCTGGTGCGATGCTGCATTGTCTAAAGCTAGCGCTTCCACGATTCAGCACTGTTGGAATCACTCTGGTCTCATTCAAAAGTCGAATCTTCAATTTATCCTAACTTAATTCAATATATGCACATCATCTCTTTCTTAATTTATATCAGGCGTTCCTTATTCAGGCAGATTTCTGTACTGTGTTTAGTAACGTGTGTTTAGTAACGTGTATGTTGAATCGTAAGCAGGTGGGAATCGTGCTCACGATTCAACATAGACGTGCGCAGACAAATGCCGTGTAAGCAGCTCGAATTCCACGTTGGCAGTACGTGATCACTGGTTTCGCCTTGTCAAGATGGAAAATGTCCATGAACACCTTGTCGAGCTCTTCCTTGGTCTTGAACTTTCCGTTCTGAGTGAAATCCACGCCTTCCATCCAATTAAAGTTCACAGCTCCGGGGACGTGACCAGTCCGTGCGTTGCCGTTGGCATCCTCTCCCCAGTACTCGCCAGGGGATCTGGCGTCCACAAACTGCGTGGAGGGATCAGCGATCCCTTTCTGCACAGCTTTAAAGCCGACAAGCTTCTTAGTGTCCACAGGTTGCATCCAGAGATCTGAGGGCGTTTCCCGGGCTTCAGGTTCTCCTGTCTCTACTGTGTTATCGTCAGAAACCCACTCTTTGACACCTCCGTCCAGCACCTTAAGTTGCTCGAGTGGGAAGCCATAGTGACGGAAGACCCACCACATGCGCGTGGCCTTGAGACTCATTTCGTCGGCATAGAACACGAGCGTCGCGTGTTTGGGGACTCTCAGCTCCTTCACCACGTCTGCAAATAGTTGTGAGCTCACGACGCCCGTGGACTGCGGCGTCGGGTCCTTGAAAAAAGATGATGCCAATGTGAGGGGAAGAGCGTCGGGGATGTGGCCACGGGGATACGAGGCTGGGTGGTTGCAGTCAAGAAGCAGCAGCTCCGTGTTACCAGTCTCCTGAGTGTTGCGCACCCATTTTGAGTCGACTAGAGCTGAAAAGGATCGATTTGATGCAGCGAAGCGGCGCACAAGCTGAGAACGAGCATGCAGCAACAGCAGCATAGTGTGATAAATGGACAAGTGGAATGATAAACGTGTCAATTACAGTTAATTTGGACAGAGCCACATACTATACTACTTTTCTTTTAATACAAACTAGTACTACTTCATAGTACTGTGTTTATTAGGTCCTGAAAAACTATTGGTAAATAGTGTTTTTAAAAACAATTTTCATGAAACGACGAGTTTTGTGACTTCCACCTACTTCAAGAAATATCTAAATATTATCGCTCTAATAGTATTGTGCACCACTAGTAATGTAAGTAGTACAATTTGTATTTTTACACACAATATGGATAAAAAAAATTAAACCTTTTTACCTAAAGCGAAGCGTAATTCACTCATGAAGCGCACATTATTATAGTGCTGAGTGGTTAATCATACTAATAATTGCACACGCTTGGGCGTGGTGGGCAAATGAGTACGTGCATTTTGACCTAGGTCGTTCGGCCCAAAACACCCGCACGTAGTTCGAGTGTGGTCCATTATGTCATTCACAAAGCTGTTTAGAGTGTTCATTTGAGGGGGCGGGTATTATTCATAACCTTTCATTGATATGGAATGGGCCTTGCATCTCACTACATGTAGTTATCCTTGTAGCAATGTGTTGCCGTATCTGTCGCGCTACCACGTCTACGCTGGGGTGCCGTAACATCGTTAGATGCGTGCAGTCTGAAATGGTAGATACAGCTGTGATATCAATTCCAAGTGCTCGATACAGCGAGATGTCTGCGCTCCACCGCTGCGTCATGTACAAGTCAGCTTGGAGCCACACTGGCGGCTGTGAACTGGAACACGCAGTCTCCACTTCCGCCGTTGTGTACGGCTGGTACATCTCTTCCATGGCGCAAAAGTGGATATAGTTGTCTCCTAATGGACGTAGCAGGGCGTCTCCGAATGCTTCATTCGTATACTGTTCAATGCGAAGTCGAGTCGCAGTCGCTTCCTCCTCGGTAACTTGCTTGGAGCTCGGCATCTCGAATGGTAGGCCGTCCAGCAGAATAAGAGGCACAAGTTCGTGTCCCTCTCTCACCGCTAAGCGTGCTACTTCGTGGGCTACACGGCAGCCGAACGAGAAGCCTCCGAGAGCATACGGACCTGCGTTCTGACGAGTACGGATACTGCAGCGGGGCTGCCGTAGCTTTAGCGTCAGAGGAAGACGTTCGACTCAAAGAGTCACTAATACTAAGTTCCTTATCCAAAGGACACTTACAGCCCAAGACCAGGGCTCAAAGTTAACAGCTTAACTTTTATGCTTCAAAACCAAAAGTCTTTTATTTACTATTATTGCGGCCAAGCCGCCTAGGGGTAAATGTATCTCTTTAACTATCTAGCATAGTTAAACCTAATCAAATGCATAACGTGTGGCTTTCAGCCAACGTACTGAGAGACCTTGTTAACTCTCCAACTTATGTACTGAGAGTTTGTTAACTCTCCGGGTACTTCGTACCCCTGTGTGCTCCACACCATGTAACCCCGTTACACTCTCCCCCACTAAGATGAGAACATTCCGTTCTCGAAACTCTCCTCAGCGAGGTCACGTCTTGTTAAGACGGCGGAGGTTACTACACCTCACACCAGCGTTGTACAGCTCCGTGAGCTCACAAACGCCTACGCATCGTTGATGCCCAACTTCTCGTCGTCGGCCCACGGCCCAATGCTCCAAGCGCAGCGCGCATCTTGCTCTCAAGCGGTCTCAGACCTACGCTCGCGCTCCGCGCCTACTCCAAGAGCTGCAAACCGCTTAGAGCAATGCTCTTGACTCATTCGAGTCGTCGACAACAGCTCAGCGGTTGAACACTCGCTTCACAAGCGATAGGTCGGTGGTTCAAACCCACTAGGGCACAGCCCTCTCGTTCCATGAACGATTGTTCACGCTTGGACAAGCTTAAGGGCAACACCCTTTTAGCTCAATGGTTGAGCGTTGGCTTTGAGAGCCACAGGTCGGTGGTTCGAGCCCACCAGGGCACAGCCCTGTCGTTCCATGAACGATTGTTCACGCTTGGACAAGCTTAAGAGCAATCCGCTTTTAGCTCAGTGGTCGAGCGCTGGCTTTGAAAGCCACAGGTCGGTGGTTCAAATCCACCCGGGCGCAGCCCTCTCATACCATGAGTAGTCCGTTCTCGGACTGACGTACGGGCATCGCCCTTGTAGCTCAATGGTAGAGCTCCGGCCTGTCAAGCCAAAGGCCAGTGGTTCGATCCCCGTGCGGGACACCACTTTCGCTGTTACAGCGCATCCACATTTGGATCATGCTCATCGAGCAAGTTGTTTCAGAACAACTATGCGTCTATCGAGACGCTTGTGCCTGAACCTTGTTCAGCACAGCACGAAGCACCTGCTTCCTTCGGGACCATGTCCCTAACACTACGAGGTCTCTCCACCTCCTGCTCCCGCTGCGAGCACCGCTCATACGTACGAGCTGGCTGCTGCAGCCACTGGTCAGAGCCTGAGCTCAACTACTGACCTCATCGCTCCCCACTCTAGTGGGAGGCGCCCAGCGCCTGGCGACGCTGTCGCACGCCATGGTGGCGCTTCGGCACATGATGTGCCCGGTCGTAAGCGTCAACGACGTCAGGGCAATCTTGCCGGAGGATAACCTCAAACTCCCATGAGTTCTGTGAGTGAGGGTAACCCCTCCACTTTACTAAGTACTGGGTACGACCCTGGCGTCTACGCCACGCCACAAGGCGTTCCACGTGAAAGTGGAGCTCACCATGCTCATCGAGCAGAGCAGGAGGAGGCCTTGCCTCAGCTGGGCTCTCGCGGGGAGAGTCAGCATTTGCCGGAACGGCGTCTGCGTCCATACGACGCCGGCGTCCACGACGCGAACGTTCACCGCCCATCGGTCGATCTCGAAGAGATGATCCACCTTGTGGATAGGTTAGAGCCACCACTGTTGACTCACAACCAGGTCTCGGACCTTGAGCGTCCAGCTGCTCGGCTGAACGTTCAGCTTGCCTTGCTCCTGCATCTCGAGCACTTCGCTCCGCGACCTGTGGCTCTGCCACATGCTGTTGATCAGCCATCAGTGGATCCACCACTTGCTGTCGTTCAGCCTCCCGTGGCTCTACCACCTGCTGCCCTGCAGCTGTCCGTGGCCCAGCCACCGCTGGTGCCAACGCCTCCGCGCTCACCTGAGCAGGGTCTTGGTATGGCTTAAGCAAGCCGACATAGAAGACCGGATGCGTGCGCATCTTCTTCGGAAGGTTGAGCGCATACGCTAGGCCCTTCCTGGCCACGACCTTGAACGGTCCTATGAACCGAGGTCTTAACTTCGTCTTGAAGACTGCAGACACTGCATGAGTAGGTAGGTTTTTAGCGTTTAATAAAACTTGGTCACCGACCTCAAACCTCTCAACATTGCTTCTGCCCTTGGCATCTGCATGTTCCTTCTGCGTGTCTTGGCTTTCAGCCATAGCGTCGCGTACTTGACGCATTACGCTCAGTCTCAAAGAGACAAAGTCATCGACTTGCTTGCGAACCGCAACAGGGCTGACATCAGCTAGCCGCTCGGCTATCCCTCCCCCACCAAGCCCTGAGCCACTGCGTGGCGGCGTCAGTGGGACGCGAGGATTAATCAAGCCGTTCACATAGAACGGAGTGTAGCCTGTCGAGGCGTGCACTGCATTATTTAATGCGAACTCAACGAGTGGGAGCATCTGGCTCCAGCGTTTTGGCGCCTCAGCGCATACGCTTCGGAGGGTATCCTCCACAACGCGATTCACGCGTTCGGTTTGACCATCGGTCTGCGGATGGTCCGCCGTGGACATGTCCAAACGAGTGCCGAGCACTCTGAAGAGGGACGTCCAGAACTTCGCGGTGAAGCGCGGATCTCGATCCGAGACAATTGCCTCAGGCAAGCCATGTTGGCGAAAGACTCGGTCTAAAAACAGCAAAGCTGTACCTTCACCATCAATGGTGTCCGGCACTGCCGCTAAATGAGCCATCTTGCTCAATCGGTCTACAAAGACCACTATACCTGTGTTTCCCGCCTTATCCTTGGGAAGGCCAAACACAAAGTCCATACTCATGGACTGCCAGCATCCCTTGGGGACAGGCAAACTCGCCAATGGCGCTGCCGTGCTCGGCGCGGACTTTGTCCGTTGACACGTCTCACACGTGCGTACATAGGTGCCGACCCACTTATACATCTTGGGCCACCAGTACATCGAGCTCACCGAGCCATAGGTCTTCTCCCGACCTAAGTGCCCGCCCACGGGCGTATCATGAACCTCATAGAGGATTCGATACTTTAGATCCTCATCATGAGGAACGACTACACGAGGGTTATCCTCAGAGTCGGTGCTGTAGTACAGCAGGCCGCCATCGAGTGAGTATCGATGCAGCCTCGCGCGTAAGCGCCCAGACAATTCCTTGTCAGAGTCTTTAAACTCGTCGCTCCCAAGAGCCCGTAGCAGCGCTACGCACATGTCGTCTTGTGCATACGCTCCGCGTATCAAGTCAGGCACTGACGACGTCACTGTCGTGACATGAGCTAACTCGTAGTCCGGCCTGCGCGAGAGCGCATCGGCCACTACATTAAGCCGCCCCGGCTTGTACTTCACCTCGAAGTTATACTCGGCAAAGAAGGAAAGCCATCTTGCCATTCTCTGAGAGAGATAAGGCGACTGTGTCGCAGTGCGTAACGACGCATGATCAGTAAAGATCACAAAAGGCTTAGAGCCTAGCAGGTGTACCCTGAATTTGACTAGAGCATACTTCATTGCAAGTAGCTCTTTGTCATGAACTGGATAGTTCTTCTCTGCAGCTTTAAGCTGGCGAGACTCAAACGCGATCACGCGTTCACGCCCTTCGGCGTCTGCTTGTAGTAAAGCACAACCGATTGCAAAATCAGAGGCGTCACAGACGACGCTAAACGGACTATCCGGGTCCGGTAGCGCAAGGATCGGAGCCTGGAGAAGGCTCTCCTTCACAGCCTCAAAGGCTCCGTCGTGCTCGACGTTCCAGCACCATGGTGCGTCCTTCTTAAGGAGATCTGATAATGGCCGAGCCATCTCCGCGTAGTTCGCACTGTACTTGTGCAAGTAATTGGCTAAGCCTAGCCACTTGCGTAAGTCTTTTTGGTTCTTGGGAACCGGCCAGTCCACGATGGCCTTGACTTTGGCAGGATCTGCCCGTAAGCCACGCTTCCCAATGAAGCACCCGAGGAAAGGTATCTCCTCCGCGCCAAAGACGCACTTGTCCAAGCTGGCATACAACTTATTAGTGCGCATGCACTCGAGCACCGCTCGCAAGTGGTCAATGTGGTTATCCACGTCTGACTTTCCGTGCTCGGCACGACTATGGACGAATATATCGTCAAAGTACGTTTGAGCGTACGCCCGGTGGGGCCTAAACAGCTGCGTCACAAGACGATTGAACGTTGCTGGTGCGTTCGACAGCCCCTGGGGCATCACCAGCCACTCCCAGAGCATACCGCTCGGAGTACTCACCGCTGTCAGCGGAACGTCGCTCGCTCTCATGAGCAATTGGTAGTAGCCATCGACCAAGTCGAGCGCGCTGTACAGCGTACAGCCTACCATGTTGTTCTGCAGAACATCCTTGCGAGGAATCGGCGTTTGCGCCGGGATAGTGGCCGCATTTAGCTTGTTAAAAGCATGAACAATGCGCCACTTGCCGTTCGGCTTTCTGACACAGAACGTGGGTGTCGAGTGCGGAGACTTACTCTCACGCACCATCCCTGCCTCGTGCTTCGCACGGAAGAATGCGTCAGTGACGTCACACTGCTCTCTCGGCAAAGGCCATTGCCTTGTTACGCAGTATTTGGTTCCAGGAACCAGGTCAATCTCATGACACACGCCTCGATCCGGAGGCAGGCCCGTCGGTGGGTCTTTTGAGACAACGTCTCCATACTCCTTCACCACCGGGTAGAAGGGATCCGAAGGATCTTTGAGGATCGCCGATCCACTTCTTGCGCTCAGCGCCTTCTTGGTGTCCTCTAGGACCGCGTCGTCCACGACGGATGAGGAGTTCAACTCCTCCTCAGGTCCCAGCAAGACCACCTCGGCTAGCTCGCCTGCCTTTAAGGCTTCGCCGAACTCGGCAATGGACATCTCGTCCAGCTCTAGCAGAGCATCTGCAGCGGGCAGAGTATCAAGGCTGATATCGCCTTCTACCTCCCCCGTCACTCCGTTCACGAGTGTATACAGCAATCACGTGGAGCATCACCGCTCGTCACGTTGGACACATCGTCCGACGTCGAAGACGTCACAGACGCCCTGCGTCTTCTTCTCCTCTCCCTCCGCGACCGAGCCCGGCCGGATGAGGGCGGTGTGGCGACATCTCCGTCACCACCACCGGGTGCAGCAGCACCATCACTCCTCGAAAAGGATACAGTGTCTCGCAAGACACTCGGCTGAAAGCCAAGAGGTTCTTGACCTTCACACAGTGAACTAGGTGTCACTTCACCTGCATCTCCTGGGCCACGCCCATGATGCCTCGACTCGCAGTCGACCGCGACCCTCGGGTCACGCAGCGGTAGGTCATCGACCAGATTCATACCACTCAGTGGATTACGCGCCACTCCGCGCTCGTCCTCACCAGGACCCAGCAGTTGGTCATTGACCTGACCTGCACCGCTCCGCGGATAACGTGCCGCACCACGTACGCCCTCAGGGCAAACAGCAACCTCGTTGCTAACAATTTCGGACATACCAATGTCCAGCACTACGGCCGCCTCGGCCTCGTGCTCGCGCCAAAAGCGCTTCTGCTTCCTAGCAGAGGTGGGTTCATGACTCACCAAAGCTCCACTAGGAGCAGGGTGCGACGCACCCAGCGTTTTCGACTTCCAGTCGATCCATGGCTCATGACGCTCCAGCCATGCCATGCCAAGGATGAGGTCATACCTCGCATCCAGGTCTAAGACCAAACAGCGTTCCACGCTATCGAAGTTCTCAAACTTCACTCCAAGGTCGACAGAGAACTTCGACACAGTTACCAGTGTCCCCGTCGCGAGACGGACAGAGATCGTATCTCTCGTTGGCACTTCCAGTGCCTCAGCATACAGCTGACTCCCTTCCAGGGTGGAGCGACGGGCGTAGTTGCCCGAGGCTCCCGAGTCAATCAAGACTCTCCATGGCTTTGCAAAGCCCTTCACGTTCGCTTGAACGACCAGCAAGCCCGGCTTGCACACACTCTTCTCGTAAGAGAGCTCAGCTCTCTTCGGGGCTGAGCCCCGTTGCCCTCTACCTCTTCGAGGCACAACAGAACTCAGTTCTTCCCCAGTAGGCCGCCCCGCGCCTACTGGGAGTTGCCGTTTCCCGGCGATGACCCGGAGGGTTGGCTCGCCGGAGCCTCGCGCTTCTTGCGCAGAGGGCAATAGGCCCTCAAGTGCTTAGTGCTATTGCACACAAAGCATCGGCGGATGCCGGCGCGCTGCTCCGCAGCAAGAAGCTCCGCTTCTTCATCTTCAGCATAGCTGAGGTCCATCGGCTCTGGACCGCTCGAAGAGCTTGCGCTACCAGCGCTCCAACCAGGTCGCGCCGACCTGAAGTTGTGCTCGGCATTCAATGCCACATCCACCGCCTCTTCAAAAGAGTTAGGGTGTACACGGAACACTTCCGTTCGAGCTGCGCTCACACGAAGTCCCTCCATGAACACGGTCACGCTGACCAGTTCCGGAAGAGGGTCCGCCGCCATTCCGGCGATAAGAGCTCTCAACTCTTGGACATAGTCCAATAAATCCTTCTTACCCTGGCGGGTAGCAAGGAACTTAACCGGATACGGTACGCCTGATTAGGCGGCGCGAACACGCGCGAAAGCTGTTGCTTCAGCTGATCCCAAGTGGGAAATGCAGCGTCAACAGACGTGCCGCACGTTAGTGCCCATTCGCGAGCGCGACCTCCAAGCCTGGAGATAGCCAGCGCCACGCGCTGATGCTCAGACTGGAGCAGGGCCGATCCCATGGCCATCTCGACCTCACGGGTCCAGAGAAGGAGATTCTCTCCATCCTTCCCCTCGAAGGTTTTTACGCTCACCATGAGCGGTTTCAGTCTCATAGACTCTTCACGCGTCATCGACGCCGCCGCCGTTGCGGCGCTCATCTTCTCTTGGACATGCTCCAAGAGCGCGTTCTCGTAGCGGGAGAACGATTCCAGCCTGGCTGTGACCGCCTCTGGACCTTGCGATGCAAGATGAGCCACGCCCTCCGGGCCAAGCAAGGACATAAGCTTAGTAAGCGCGTCCTGCTGCGCCGGGGGCAAATTCGCGAACACGGGGTGTTCCATCCTCGCAGAGGATATAGTCAACCGACTCAGGAGCGGGATTGACTACAAGTGCTACCAAGTGCAGCGGGGCTGTCGTAGCTTTAGCGTCAGAGGAAGACGTTCGACTCAAAGAGTCACTAATACTAAGTTCCTTATCCAAAGGACACTTACAGCCCAAGACCAGGGCTCAAAGTTAACACCTTAACTTTTATGCTTCAAAACCAGAAGTGTTTTATTTACTATTATTGCGGCCAAGCCGCCTAGGGGTAAATGTATCTCCTTAACTATCTAGCATAGTTAAACCTAATCAAATGCATAACGTGTGGCTTTCAGCCAACGTACTGAGAGACCTTGTTAACTCTCCAACTTATGTACTGAGAGTTTGTTAACTCTCCGGGTACTTCGTACCCCTGTGTGCTGCCCCCTCTGTAAACTCCGTTACATGATAATATTTCCAAGTAGATTTTAGCGATTAGTTCTCCAGGACTAGAATATTGCGGAGTTGGGTTGCTTGAACTCCGACGACCGCAAGCGGGCAATTTGTCGAGCTAGTTCCAGCAGGTTCCAGACAGTCCCGTCAGCGTCATGAAAACAAGGAAAACTGTGCGTGTATTCTTCGCTGTGGGCCAGTTAGGTGGCACTAGCGTCTCCGATGTCCACTGACGTAAATCCACCATCGAAGCTGCAGCCCTTCGAGCCATTTCAGGCAGCGATGACGTGCGGAAGAACTGCTCAAGGGCTAAGGAGAGTCCCCGTGCTTGCGCAAGAGCAATCGCTCGGATAGCCGCCAGCGAATCGCCACCCAGTTCGAAGAAAGACTTGGACATTAAGTTCGCTTCGAGTTTGTCGTCCATGTCTTGGTCACCATCCACAGGCTGGAGCTCTAGAGCCTGCATCCACACCTGCCGTAAAATGTCCGTAGCTAACTGTACTGTAATAGTAGACTCTTTCTTTTGTTCTCCAGGACGAGAGTCTGTCGAGTTTGAGCCAGCCCAACTTGCGAGCGTTCGAAGATCGATCTTCCCGTTTGGTGTGCGTGGCCAGCTACTGACAACTTGAATCGACTGAGGCACCATGTGAAGTGGAAGGTGCTGGTCAAGATACGCGCGTAACTCGGTTAAATAACCGTCTCGGACCGATAATTCGTCGATACTCTCAGCTGGCATGACGAAAGCTACGAGCGTCGACGACATTTGCCGTTGCTTCTGACCGGGCGAGGTCAACTGAGGAACTGAGAGCACCTCAGCTGCCTTGATGCTTGAAGAGCGCAGTAGAATGTTGCGCACTTCTTGTAGCTCGCCTCGCATCCCATGAAGCTTCACTTGTGCATCTGTGCGTCCGAGAAACACCAACTCGCCACTAGGTAGCCATTTCACCAAATCCCCAGTTTTGTACCATCTTCGTGTTCGCTTCTGAGCTAGTGACGCGATTTCTTCGAGTTTTTTGTGAAGAACGAACGAGTTCTCGGTGAGTTCTGGACGACGCCAATAGCCACGAGCCACCCCTGCTCCACCAATGTACAACTCACCAGGGACGTTCACTGGAACGAGTCTTCTCTGAGCATCCAGCACTACCACCGGATGCTCGTCTATCGGTTTTCCGATGGGTACACTATGAAGTCCTTGAAAAAGACTTGACTCGTTCTGCATCGCCAGTTCTCGAGGCATCCGAAAAGCTGTCGAAGTTATCGACGCCTCAGTGGGTCCGTATTCATTGACAAGACACGTAGAACAGGCCGGGTGTTTCTTGTAGAATTGACGTGCAAGTTCAATGGGAAAAGCCTCACCCGCCAGTATAACGTGCTTGATGGAAGCTGGAAAAGTATCACCGTTTTCACTCATATAGTCCACGATCAGCGAGAAATATGACGGCACAAATACACAAAACGAGATGTGAGGAGCTTCCAGCAGCACCTTTCGCATGTACTGCAGATCGTGGAGCCCCTTTGGACGAGTGATTCGTGCGCTTCCGCCAACGAGTAAAGGCGAAAAAAGTTGAGATAACGAGCCGTCCAGAGTCGTCGATGTGCTCTGGAGGAAAACGTCACTTGACGTCACTTCATACGTGCGTACTGTCCACCAAAGAGTTGTCATCAAAGCAGCGTGAGGCACCACAACGCCCTTCGGATTACCTGTCGACTAATATTTATGGTTAGTAAAAGAAAGGATCACAATAAGAAAAAAATACCGTACCCCAGAGGTGTAGAGGACGTAAGCAGTTGCTGTATCGGAGTCTCGCTTCTGTCTCTTCAGAAGCCTCGATTCGCTGTCAAACTCGTCATCTCTTGCACATCCATCGCTAGACGAGGTTAGACGATCTACATCTTCGTAGTTTAAAACTCGTGGGGCAAGTTCTTCCTCTGACTCTCGTGACGACACAAACGCAGCGATCTCTGCGTGTTTCCGTTGCGTGATGATCACTTGAAGTTCGCTATCACGAGTCATATAACGCAGACGCTCACGAGGAAACTCGGGGTCAAGCGGCACAAAAACTGCCCCCAACCGCAATATTCCGATCATGGCTGCAACATTTTCCACTCCTCGATCCAAGAGCAGACCGATATGAAGCTCAGCGGAACAACCAGAGATATCCAGCATGCACAAGGCTCTGGTGACGCGGCAGCTGTACTTCCACAAGTCCTGGTATGTCCACTGCGTGCCCTCAAAGTGAAGGGCTGGGTGATCCGGGGTTTTCCACACTTGAGCAAGCAAACATTCGTCTAGAAACTCTGAAGGCGGTCTAAGTAAAGCTGGAGGCCTTGGCATACCCCATACAGAGACAAGCTGCTCTCGTTCGGACCTGGAGAGCATGGAAATGGCTGGAGATCTCACTAAAGCAGTAGGAGAGCTCGTCACTTGTTCCATTAATGCCAGATAATATCTCGAGAACCGTTCGACCGTCGATCGCATAAATCGAGCCGTGGGGTACTCTAAGGACCCCTCTAACACGCGCTCTGTACCTCCGTTAAGGCGACGATATCTCATGGACAACATGAGGTCGAATTTGGCAGACTGATGTGGTAATTCTAGCTCCGTGTACGTGGTACTCGACGTATCCTCACTTTGTTCCCAAGAAAACATAACCTGGAAAAGTGGATGTTGCCATCGTCGTTCAATGTCGTCGTTGCTGTGAGCTGAAGCACGTAGGTGTTCCAGAACCTTGTGGAAAGGAATCTCCATGTTGTTGTAGGCGCCCAGCACAACTTTGCGAACATTTTTCAAGAAACTCTTGAAATCTTCATCTCCTGCGAATTTTCCGCCGAGACGCAACGGTAGAGTGTTAACGAAGTATCCCATGATGTCCTGCAACTCAGCAGCGTCTTGTCCGGACGAGGGAGCACCGATCACAAAGTCTTGTTGACCAGATAAACGCTCCACTAGCAAGTAGAAGACAGCGAGGAGACCCATGAAGATACTCGAGCTCTGGGAATGACAGAGATCTGAGAAAGCTTTTTGCAAAGCAGATGATGACCTGAACACGACGACGTCACCTTTTGCTGTGGTCGCTTCTGGTACGGTGGACTCTTGACCGTCAGGTGTGTAAGGGTCCTCCTTGTCAAAGGGAAGCTCAAGTAACAGAGGCACCCCGTCTTCTGTAAGTTGCTGTGTCCAATACTGTAACAACGGCGCAGCCACACCGGATCGCATTCGTGAGCGTTGCCAAACTGCAAAGTCTCGGTACGTCAAGTGAGAGGCACTAGATGTCTTCGTCTCCATGTTCTGCACGATCCCTTGTATTGTAACGTGATCATCGTGCAAAAAACGCTCATAGCGTTCGAGAAAATCGCTCCAGAAAAGCTGACTGGAGGCTGCATCCGTGACGATATGGTGCAATACTACTGCAAGGATCCATTGCGAGGTGGATTCCTGCTCAGAGCACGTAATTGCATACACCCGAAGCGGTGCATGTCGTGCCAAATCAAACGGTTCGTCAGATGGTTTTTGCCACAAAAGAGGCAAGTTCCGCGTCGAA